CGCCTCTCTGTTTTCCACGTTCACGTGACTTTGCTATATTCGACGTAAAACGTACCTAACAGATTATTCACGGACTTTATGCATCAGTCTACGAAGAATCTTGATAAAATATTTTCAAATATGACTCATATTTGGATCCGTACCGTCGTACTGCAGAACAAAAAAAAAATATTTCTTAAGTTTTCACGCAAATCACTCATTAAATAAAACTAGTTTTACAGGTTAATGCACGAAACTTTTTTTATTTATTCACGTTTCGCAGCCTTTTCTGGTCTGCAGCGTCAGAATAATGATTTTTAAAGAAAAGTTTACTAGAAAAAACGGGACTCGAACCCGCACCCTTCGCAATCCGGGCGAATGCACTGACCATTATTGTGGGTTACTTACAATGCGAAGAGATGGCGCTGCCTTGCAGCTTAAGGCTAGGAAAATTTCGACGCGGCTAATAGGGCCGTGGTAGCATAATGGTCAGTGCATTCGCCCGGTTAGCGAAGGATGCGGGTTCGAGTCCCGTCCGCTGCCTGGTCCGCGTGGATTTTTTTTCTAGTAAACTTTTCTTTAGATTTAAACATCTAGCAGTTAAATGCTTAAAAAATAAATAAAATCATAACTATAATGATTTTTTTTCGACAATTGACAGATCGACAAAATTAAATAAAAAATCATTATTCTGACGATGCAGACCTGAAAAGGCTGCGAAACGTCAATGAATAAATAAAGTTTCTTGCATTAACCCGTTAAAACTAGTTTTATTTAAACAAAAATTTAAACGTCCCGAAAATTCACATTTTGGTATATGTATCTACATTTCAAGTGAAACTGTTATAACATCGCCACAATCATTTTCGTTCATCTTAAGCATGTCGCATTTCATCTTTAATTGTTATTAAAAAAATCGGACTTTATCAAACAGACATTCGTGGCTCAGTGGTAGGGCTGCCATCTCTAAAATGTGGCAACCAGGATAAGACGCGTGATAACCCCGGATTTTGGAGCCCAGAAACCGGACAGACCAATAAAAAATAGTTAAAAATATCACAAATCAACTTTTTTATGTTGATCTAGGCAAAAGAGCTAGCGGTCTACCTCATAATAAGTGGTCACTGCTGCCCATGGACACTTGCAGCACCAAGGGCCACTCATGCGTTGCCGTAAATTTTTAAACCCGGACTACAAATAAAACCCCGCCCGGACGCTCCCCGGACGCCCCGTAAACTAGGACAAATCCGGGGAAACCCGGACGGATGGCAGCCCTACTTAGTGGTAGAAAGCACGCCCTATGCGGGCGGCCTGGGTTCAATTTTCAGCCAAATAGTAGAACTTTTTTATATTAATGATAATAAATATTTATGAAGTGAAACTTCTTTACGCAAGCTTGACTTGGGGGGTACGCTGGCGAATGCGTTACGCGTTACGAAAAGTGTGCTCGGGAGTTGAGTGGGGGATATTATAAGCAAGAGAAACAAGCGCGCACATTTTCTGTCTCTCTTTCTCTTAGAGCTAGTAAATGAAATATGTGTACATACATGTTTATATTGCACACATATCTATACTTTTAATAAATCTGTAGAGAGGTCAATTCTGTACATGAAATATAATTTCAAAATAACTATCAGGGGGTGATTAGTGATCGATACTGATGCCAAAAATGCAATAAGTAAATTTTTTGTCTGTCTGTCTGTCTGTGTGTATGTTCCTTATAGAAACAAAAACTACTCGACGGATTTTAACGAAACTAGGTACAATTATTCTTCATACTCCTGGGCAGGTTGTAGTATACTTTTCATCACGCTACAGTCAATAGGAGCAGAGTAGTGAAGGGAAATGTTGGGAAAACGGGAGAAGTTACTCCATTTTTTAAGCTTCCGTCGCGTGCGCAGCCTTAATGGTTAAAATTACATAGAAATTATGTATGACGGAAATATTATACATAAAATTGTCTAAAAAATACCCTGCAAGAGCATATGTCTATCTTTTATGGTTTATTCACAATAATACGAGTAACTCCTGATAGCTTAGCAATTCGGAGCATTCTGATTATATTTGTTTACTCTTACGTTTATAATACTCTCATTCATCCCTAATTTAAAAAAGTTAACATTATTACCTATTTAATAAAAAAAGAATCATAGAAAAAGAATTAAATAAATAAATTCAATGTGTACAATACACGCCTGAGAACAAAAACTATAGTCTACACTACAGCTCTCACCGAAGCGAAGCGAGGGCGGGCCACTAGTATATATATATATATATATATATATATATTTCTTCTTTTACACATTCTGCCAACTGTATACTTATTTTATTACGGTTCATGAGATATAGACGGTTGATACAGAAATGGGTAAAGGATGATTCTGTTATAACCTTATGGGTAAGAAACCTTAATTAGGGGAAATGATAAGAAATTCAGATATAAACAAATTCAGGTATAATATTTAATGTTTTGCAAAATCCAAGCGTCGTCGTCTCCCCGTACCCCCGTTTTTAGGTTTGTGAATGTTGTATTAATTGAATTAGTATTTTGAGATTAGATTCTGTATCTTCCGTTTGAGTTTTGGAGGTATTTCACGGAGTAAATTTTGAAATTTCAAATTAATTCCTTCCTAATCTGTGAAGTAAAATTAACAAATTAGGCATGTCAGGATTGAAGCAAATGATAACGAATCGTATTTGCCTAAGCCTTGATAAATTTGCGTGAAATTATAACAGAATAACTTCAAAGATAATTCTGAAGATTATATGATTTAAATAATTCAACCAAAATCCAACGGTTAGAATTTCACATTCTGTTGTTTATCGGCCGTGTATACGTGATATCAATTGATATTCAAGTATGGTTAACTCAATGCTGTCATGGGTCTGATGGTGATTCTAGTCAAGCATTAAAAATTTACTTTTCTGATTGGAGCACAATGACTAACTGTGGCCACAATTCCAACGCGTACAAGGAAATTTGGTGACTCATTTCTTTGTCGCACTATCCGTAAATGGAATGCTCTGCCTGCTCACGTGTTCCCTCCCTCTTACAACCTGGGATCCTTTAAAAGAGGCCTGAAGAAGCAACATGCAGGCCGGCAGGGTGAGGATGGTTGGTGTGGCAGGTAGAACTGCTGTATCAGCTATCTTCGCGTCTGGACTTCACCTTCACTTAACATCAGGTGGGGTGGAGTTATTTGTCGGACCTATCTATAAAAAAAATGATGTAAGGCGCACTTGGATCAAAGTTGTTCTTGCAATTGGGCCTTGTGAGCTGCATGAAGCTTAGTAAGCTGCCCGAAATGTACACACTTTAAATGGAAGTAGTAGGTAGTAAAAGGCATAAATGCCTTTACAAATAGGCTTATAAAAAGCGCTTTACACGTCCCAGTATTACTTTATAGCTACCACTGCTTCGGGACAGTAAATGAGCTGGTGCACAGAAGAAGCAGCGCAAGAAACTCAGTCACCTTTGTGAGTCTCCTTTCAAGGATTAACAATACTGTATATATATTGTTTTAAACTTTCATGGTCACTAACATTTCGATTTCGAGAGAATAGTGAGAATGTGAACAGTGGTACGGGTATCGAACGCAATAAAAGACTTCGTCGGAGGGTAGACCGATATGTCTGCCAATAACAACCTACCCGCAATTACTTCAGTTACTCCGTGATCATGGCGCTTAAAACAGTGCCGAAATATCGGAAACTCGCTAAAAACAAGTTACATGGTAAAAATCCCTTAAACAACTTATCTTACTATAATACCGTTATATGTATGAAAATTGCTTTACAGTTTTTGGAAAATTGTTTCTGTTGTTGAGTCCTTTCTTTAATTTAGTAAGTTTTGTATACCGGTATTCCCAAGGGAACTGGAACTTCGAGGGTGAAACCGTGGGGCACAGAAAGTACGGTATATAATTAAAAATACTGATGCAAGCTAGGCAGTTGCAAACATTTTTATCTTTTACTAGCTGACCCAGCGAACTTCGTACTGCCATAAAAATAGGAATTGGTGATAGAAGGGTAAAAATTTAGGGTTGTATCTTTATATCACATTTTAAAAAAAATCAAAATTATAATTGTCCAAATAATAAAATGATATGGGTGGATAACCCTTTTTCTATGCTTAATAAAGCTTTTGCTGTTCTGTGGTGCTTCATCATCAGCCTATTAATGTCCCGACTGCTGAGGCACAGGCCTTCCCCATGGGTGAAATAGGGAGATTGGACCCACCACGCGGGTCTACTGTGGATTGGCGGGTGCTAACGACTGCAGATGCAGCCGGGACCAACGGCTTAACGTGCCTTTCGAAGCACGGAGGAACTCGAGATAGAAGATTTTTGGTCACCCTTTTAATGACCGACCACTGCGAAAGTTGCTTAACTTAAACGGTCGAAGTCGAACGCGCTTAGCATCTGCGCCATCGAGCTCCTGTGGTGCTTATCCGTCTTCTAATCTTAGATTAAAACAAAAAGGGTAGATACGGTACGCTCATACTTACATCAAAGAAAAACTGATCCCACGGCAGCGCGAACGGGACGGCGAGATCCACGTCACTGCATTACCGACCCGAACGAAACAGCACGTTAAGTTTCAACGGCAGCGCAAACGAGACGGCGCGATCCGCGTCACTGCACTACCGACCAATCACGCGACCAGTGCTCGACGTCACTACCGAATAAGATTCAAAACAAACAGCAATTTTTATGTAAAAATATATTTTAAAGTACTTACGAATGAAAAGTGATGCCGTGGGTTTTATTATTAGTTCTTGAGCAATTTGAGCACTTTTTAAAAACACACTTAGGCATTGTTTTATCATATAAACACAAAATATTAGCAATATTTATTTTTGGCGTTCACATGTACGTCGTTTGCATGTCAAGTTGTGACTAAAGCGATTAGGGTCGTGGACCACAATTCATGCGGATCACTTTTGTGAGGCTAGTGCCGTATCTACCCTTTTTGTTTTAATCTAAGCTTCTAATATGATTTATGACGTCATTGTCCACCAGGAGCTACACTGGCCGTCATCATCGACATGGACCACCGCACCTCAGTCATCTTCAGCGCGTGCGTGGCCGTCTTTTACACCTTGTTCGGGGGCCTGTACTCTGTAGCCTACACTGACGTCATCCAGCTGTTCTGCATCTTTATCGGGCTGTGGATGTGCATTCCGTTTGCGTGGGCCAACTCGCACGTGAAGCCGCTGAGCTCCATGGAAGTGGACTGGATCGGGAGGGTGGAGCCGGAGTACTACTGGTTCTATGTTGATTACGGGCTGCTGCTGATCTTCGGAGGGATACCATGGCAGGTGAGCATTTGAACCAAAAAAAATATTAACCCGTTAATTTAGTGACGCCGTTTTCTAAAAAGCCAATACTCTGACTGAAGAAAGAAAAGAAAGGAATAAATTTTATTGACCATAAAGTATTGTTAAACATATATAAAAATAATTTTTGGCCAACTAGGTCCCTGCCTCAGCTTGATACTACAGGAACACCAAGGCTGCTGCAGCGCTTATGATTCTGGCAGGGCCTAAGGTTCACGACACAGATTATTATTTTTAAACAATAGTAAAGTAAACAACCACACACATAAAAAAGAAAAGATAATAACAACTTAGGCTGAATTTTTTTCACCATCTTTAGCCTTACAAAAAAAAGTACAAAGAAAAAAAAAAGAATTATTTATCTGGGATACAGACTACAGACTGGAACCTAAAAAACAAAAGAAGAAAACAAAGAAATAAATTAAATAAATTGCAAACTTATTAGTAATTCTGAAGACTGAAGGCCAATCTGCCAAGTAATGGAAATTTTTTAAAATAAATAGCTAAAAATCACGATGACGAAATATAAATTAACTAAATGATAATGGAAATTCAATATACATTTATATTTTACTGTACATATTTGTTTCCGTGACGACAAGACGAGCGGAACTTGTGACGTCATGAGGTGTGGACCGGCCGAATACCGAAAAATATATAAAGTCTCTGGGACAAAATCATATCTTCGAAATTTAACTTCCTTATTGTTAAATATAAAAATGAAATAAATAAATAAAATTGGTTCTCATAATTTGAACCTTAAACATCGTCATGTTTTATACTATTCCTTGTGAATATGCTTCGTGTCTTTGTATCCGTTTATTAATTGGAGCGTAGTTTGACCATCCCTTTATTTTGGGTTACATATAGGCGCAGCCCGACTTCAGTCACCCTCCATCATTTTCGTCGAGGGTAATGGGATCCTTGTCCAAGGACATGACACTTTCCCCTTTGCTTCCATCCGAAGCAATTAATAAATAGAATCCAATTAGAAAATTGATATAAAGACACGAAGAGACGGGGTCAGTGATAAAATGTAGTTCCCGAAAGGATACGCGTCTTTAGAAAAGTTTACTAGATTGAAGTCACTAATTTAACTATTCAAGCTACACTAACATATAGTACAAGTTCTTGATTAATTTAAGCGTTTCTTTATCCGCTACATTTTATGTAAAATGTGTGCCAAACAAACATATCTATGTTTTAAGGCCCGATTGTTGGTAAGGGTTCGCCATAGACAATAGACGACAACGTCCACACAGTATTATTCGCGTGTTGGCTTTGTCTATTGACCATAGGGAGAAATCGTGGCATATACCGAGTCGATTGATAATCTTCGAGTTATGTGGGACGCTCATCCGTGGACTATTCTAACAAAAAATCGTTGGATGAGTAGCTTAGGCCCACCCACCAAAACCCCACGGCATACCCTTGGTTAGGAGTCTTCATTATCATCATCAGCCTATTAATGTCCCCACTGTTGGAGCACAGGCCTTCCCTATGGATGGAATAGGGAGATTGGGCCATGACCCTCCACGCGGGCCTAGTGCGGATTGGCGGGTGCTAGCGACTGCAGATGCAACCGGGACCAACAGCTTAACGTGCCTTCCGAAGCACGGAGGAACTCGAGATAGAAGATTTACGGTCACCCATCCAATGACCGGCCACTGCGAAAGTTGCTTAACTTCAACTATCGCAGCCGAACGCGCTAACCACCCGCGCCATCGAACTCCTCTCGGTTAGGAGTGGTACCCGAGACCTGAGGAGTTTCTGAGTCACCGGGCCACCTACTCCCTGCCTTTTGCGCAGGCTCGCGTATTTGATACTTACTCAATTTCTATTCCAGCTCCGTGAAGTCTTGGAATATTACTCACCGATATAAACATAAATCTCAAAGAGCGGAAAATCTAATAAGCAAGGAGGTGCTACCTCCCTTAAAACTTTTGTTATTAGGAGACAATCAGCAGCATAAATGGATGATTGGAGATTGTTCCACTAACTTGAATTAAAACAAAAAGGGAAGATGCGGTACGCTCATACTAGCATCAAATAAAATATACTCCGACTTAACTTTAGATTAAAACAAAAAGGGTAGATACGGTACGCTCATACTTGCATCAAACAAAAACTGATCCCACGGCAGCGCGAACGAGACGGCGAGATCCGCGTCACTGCATTACCGACCCGAACGAAACAGCACGTTAAGTTTCAACGGCAGCGCGAACGAGACGGCGAGATCCGCGTCACTGCACTACCGACCAATCACGCGACCAGTACTCGACGTCACTACCGAATAAGATTCAAAACAAACAGCAATTTTTATGAAAAAATATATTTTATAGTACTAACGAATGAAAAGTGATGCCGTGGGTTTTATTTTTAGTTCTTGAGCAATTTGAGCACTTTTTAAAAACACACATAGGCATTGTTTTATCACATAAACACAAAATATTAGCAATATTTCTTTTTGGCGTTCACATGTACGTCGTTTGCATGTCAAGTTGTGACTAAAGCGATTAGGGTCGTGGACCACAATTGGTGCTGATCACTTTTGTGAGGCTAGTGCCGTATCTACCCTTTTTGTTTTAATCTAAGGACTTAGCTACATAAGCGACTCTCACACACGCACACGTCTGTAAATAAACATTCAATCGAGCGAGCGAGACAGAACTGTACGCTTCAACGCAGCGCGAGCGAAACGGCGAGTCTGTGTCCGAGTCCGCACGGCTGAACAAAATGGCGATTACGTAAATAACATTTACGATAAACCGTGATTTGCGAGAATTTTTTTTTTACAGTTATACGAATGAAAAGTGTTGCCGAGGCATTTGTTATTTGATTTTGAACTATTTGTTTTCTTTATAAAAGCATCAAAGGCATTATTATATTGAGTGCACATGCAGCGTGTTTGAATGTCCAATTGTGACTAAAGCGAATTGTGGTCATGCACCACAATTTAAGCGGTACACTTTTTAAGCCGCGCGTGCTGTATCTTCCCTTTTTGTTTTAATCTAAGTCCACTAACGATATTTTAAAGTACTTAAAGTGTAGATTGTGTAATTATGAAAAACAAAAGTAACGTGAACCTACATAATAATATTGTAGTTTCCCAAAGGTGTCGTCCCGCATCAAAACATAGGGATGGTCACATTCCATCCACGTATTAGGTCAAGTTTGTGGCGGGAAAATCCGTTAAGCTTGCGTTGTAGCACCTACACTAGACATGTGTCGGTTAACGTGAAATGTGTAGTGGGGTTTAGGAAAAGAATGAAGGAATTTATTTCATTTTACAAGCTTTTTTCTTTTTACAAGCTTTTATTTAACTTGCTATGTATGTTTGTTACGGTCAAATCTTACAACTCAATTTTAAAGCACTTACCCTCAACCGGTTAAGCTCAAATTTGGTATGCTCGTTCAGTTCGGATGACAATGCATGATTAACAGTGTGACGTCATTCTAAATCCAATATGGCGGCATACCCAAAATGGCGGACCAATCATTTTTAATGCATTCCTACAATATGGGTATCAAATTAAAGGGCTTGCTGAGAGTAACTCGAAAAAAATGTAACGTCACTCTCAATCTAATATGGCGGACTTTTAAACGCGTTCAGTTTGTTTGACAATGGGCCCAATTCTGGCGTGCCAACTTATATCTAAAACTAACTAAAATTAGATATAGAGTTGTCAAATTCAATTTGGTATTCTGTAATGACACTCTATCTCTAAATTTAAAATTGACGTTGCTAAGTTATTCAACTTAGATTTAGATGATTAAATGGTATTCTGAAACGCGTTCTAAATGTCATATTTTCTCTAAAATTAGAAATGTCACACTAAATTTAAGAAGGACCTACGGAGGTCCTCTCTAAATTTAAATGTGAATAATTGAGGCCAAATATCACGTTAATGATTGCTGTACTTAAGTTTTGAACTTGTTGTTAAGGTTGGATATGGGTTTATTTCGTTGAAAAAAGACATAAATTTTATACAATAATGAACAACGACGGTGATAATAATATATTAGCTAGATCTTTCTTTTTTTTAAAAAGGTAGGTGGGTCTATGTTACGATGCGGATTTATTATAAGCCTATTAATGTGTCATGCTTATAATAAATCCGAGCTGCAGCGAGCAGCAACATAGGAACTCGATTTAATACATTTTGGGGTGGTCACCCATCCTAAGATCGGCCATTGTGAAAATTGCTTAACATTCACGATCGCAGAACGAAAGCGTTACACTTGCGCTATTGTGGTCTTTCGTAGGTAATGTACACGTATATCTTGTATAAAATACTAAATAATTTAAGGTAAAATCTTATATAACATAAATAAAAATCCACTTCATATAAAAACAACATAAAAAGGTAAAAAATCTATGTACTAATTTTATAAGTAATACTTACAGATCCTACTTATATCTAAAGTACATAGTCAAATAATTAACAAGATAATAGAGGTATGGTGTCAGTGATTTGCATTCCAATCACCAATTGCAATCCAAATGTTGCTTTGACTTTAAATGTAGGTACTTTAGACTTTAATGTATTATTTGTTCCTTTGTTTTATGTGGTTTTGTTTCTATGAAGCAGTTTTTAATACCTATTAGTTCGAAATGTTTTTATTTCCAACTTTTTATAAGCTAAACATATTTCTTAAAAAATGGTTGCCTGTAAAGTCGGTTTTACGGGCGAAGATTTTACGTGACAACGTCTTTTTCTCGGTAGAATATTTATTGATATGAATATAATTAAATTGCACAATAGGAACAAGGAATTGAATGAAAATAAGAATTGCACAAATTTTAACTATAGAAATATATTTTGTTTACTAAAACATTGTACATGTAAACTTAAACTTAACACGAGAGACTCATCGTAACGTTACCGAGCGTTACACTTTTTCATAAGTGACTCCCAGCCGCAACCTAATTTAAGACGTTGTCACGTCAATAACCAAACACGAAATAAGTACCTACTGTTTGTAATTGAAAAGTTTGTTTTTATATATCCTAAACTGGGCATCTTCACCAAATGAATAATTGGGATGATCTCGCCAAAAACTGATAGAAACAAAAAAGATAAAAATAGGTTACGCATCTCGGATTATACAATAAATGAGAATAAAATCTTCACAAAACAGCCGAAGGGATAATTTTACAACCTCTTACCGAAACCAAAATTATAGGTATTAGATAGATACGCTGGATTGGGAATTTACGATGCGAGAAATTTTCAAGAATGGTTCACGTTAGACCCTGTCGGCCGTAGCAGAGTTAACTAATCATCATCATCATCATCAGCCTATTAATGTCCCCATTGCTGGGGCACAGGCCTTCCCTATGGGTGAAATAGAGAGATTAGGCCATGACCCACCACGCAGGCCCAGTGCGGATTGGCGGGTGTTAACGACTGCAGATGCAGCCGGGAGAACGAGGCACTCGACATAGAAGATGTTTGGTCACCCATCCAATGACCGACCACTGCGAAAGTTGCTTAATTTCAACGATCGCAGCCGAATGAGCTAATTGTCTGCGCCATTGAACTCCTCTAGTTAACTAATATCAAATAATTTATTTTACATGGATTATGGACACATTCACACTATACCAGGCGGTAACCGACTGACAACCGAGCAACACATGAAACAACGCTCGAAAAAAGCTTGGTGCCGCCTCGGCTCGGCAACGGCCCGTTGCATGAATACATTGCCGGCGCGCTGCCACCCGGCAATCGTAGTGAACCTTAGACAAAACAATAAACAGTTTTGCGCGGACGAGTACATTTACTTTATCTGAATGATTAGACTGCATCACGGTGCAACGATACCTACCTAATTGCTCGGTCGAGGCACTTCTTTGATCATTACAAAATTTACAGATCGGCTCGGTGACCATGCTACGGCTGAAGCTCGGCTCAGGACTCGACACGGTCCATCGTCACTGATCATCCTTAATAGATTTGTTAGCTGCCAAATCTAGTTGGTACCCATATTTAAATTTAATTTTATAAGTGATAGCTTTCCCTGTCGTTTTGCCAAAAAAAATACTTGGCGTTTTCTAAGAAAAAATATGATTCCTAATGTTCTCCCACCAGATTTAATTTCTCCAAGTTCTTATTTTCCCCCTAAATAAGGACAAACACTCCCATCTAGAAACCCTAAGTACCACAGAGTAGGCAAGTATTCACTCTTTAATATTATTGATTCATAATTTCTCATACAGTAAAATAACAAACTTAAGTTAAGTTTCCATATTTCAAAGATGATGAAGAACAACAAAGAATTACTGAAATAAGTCAAAATCACTGAATAATATATAATTATTGCTAATTTGAGTAAACCGATAATTACCGGTTCAAAGCCTTTACATAATCTGTGAATTCAATTTAGATGCTCGTTTACAGCTGTCAACTGTGTTTTTAATTTAGTTAGTTCGCAATTTCAGAATACCAATACTCTAAACCTGAACTAAAATTAACTCTCTAATTTTAAGTTTAGGTTTAGAGAATGTAACGCCAGAATCGGTCCCAGTGCATAGTTAATTGTGTGACGTCATTCTAAATCCAAGATGGCGGAACACCCAAAATGGCGGATAATCTTTTTTCTTTTTAGCGCATTTGAATAAAAGCTTGTTTTTAAAAAGGTTTTTTTAACCTTAATTTTATTGTATTATAACGACGACGATATTTAAGAATATTTATTAACATTGATATAACATTATATGCGATGCGTGATCTGAAATCCAAACAAGCACTGAAGACTACTTTAAAATGTAATTTGCTGAATTTACAATGTACGTATTAATTTAAAGATACTCACCCAATTTCCAATCTCGACAGTAAGTTTTGGGGATGAAATTCAGCACTTGGGGGCCATTCGCCTAAAAGAAATGCTAGGTAAATCGCTAACGCTTACGATTTCATTTTGTTATTTCTAGCCGCCTGAGGTTTTCAAATGCCTCGCGCTCTTTTTTTTCTTTTGCATTGGTAATATAATAACAATATTAAAAAAAATGAGGGTGAGGTATTTGAAAACCTTCGGCGGTCAGAAATAACAAAATTAAATCGAAAGCGTTAGCGTTTTCCAAAGCAATTCCGTTAGGCGGATGGCCCCCTGGAGGCAAACTTATTCGTGTTATGGGCGGCCACTTTAGTACAGTCAATCTGTCGAAAAAAATATCGTTTCAGTGAAAAAAAAACCTAAAGGGTAAGTCTTGTTTTTTCTGTTGCCAAATGACGTCAGTAAGCCACCTTGGCGATGGGCATGTTCAACTCGTAGGCGTTTTTTGAAAAACTCAAAAAAACCGTCAAAAATTTTTTGAAACGCATTTTTCTTGTTTTGTATGCATGCATTTTGTATGCGGCGCACAATGCCGAATTATGCTGATGTGAATTAGTTTTCAAATGCACCAGCAGAAAGCGCTAAGTTCAGTGTTGTAAAAAAACCATAGAGTTAGCAATAACATCATTGATGTGTAAATAAAGTAGTTTACAATGTTTACAAAAGTATATTCATGTAAAATAAATTTGTTCATAGATTCAAATTCTGATAAAATTGTATTCACATTTTAAATGTAGAATATAAAAAAAAGTCAATATTTGTACCTTCATCCATACTTATTACTAATTTATTTTTTAACACAGTTTGAATTAACTTTGATTATTTAACTAGCGTTCGATCAATGCTAACTTAAAGAAAAAACACTTGTTAATTTTCTGTCATTGAGTTGGTACGTTTGCACACATCACACGAAAGCATTACTTTTGAGAGTGCTCCATTGTGCGAAGCGTTGCTGTAGCGTTATGCATTATGCCGCATAAAGCTGTTATTGGAAAACTACCATTGTATCCATATCGCGCACTACTACGGGGACTGAGAGGGATGGACTGCTATCGAGTTTGCGGATGGCGGATACGATTATGTGAAGTACCGGCATTACAGGCCCTGCCAGAATACCAGCGCTGCTGTGACACATTTTGTGGCGTGTTGCGGCAGCATTATGCTGAGGCAGGGTCCTGATTGACCACAAACCACAAAATGTAGTTAATCTTTTTTTTTACCTATAAATATTGTCAAATGTTATTTTTTTGTATGCTCATTTGTAATGTATATGGTCAATAAAATGTCAATGTCTTTGGTCTTAGTAGACCAGGGTCGATCATTTTAAAAATGTTAAAAAGTGAAAAAAAATATATAGTAGGTTGAAACCCATTGAAAAAGGTAGAGAATATAACGAAAATGAAAGGAAAATTATTTTTTTCCAATGGGTTTCATCCTACTATATTTTTTTTTGGTCTCAAAAATTATCGACCCTGGTCCATAGATAGATTATCCATTTTTCAATTATGTAGGCAAAGAGCTAAAGATACAAAGTAAAAATATCGTTAAAAATCTAAGAAAAAGAGTGAGAACATTTTGCTTTTAATCTTAGCTTTTTAGGGAGAAGTTCTAAGAAAAATTAACGACCAATCTTACAGTATTGAGTGCGTTAAAGAAGAAATAAATAAATAAATTTAGAAGTTTTCTCGACAAAAAACACACTTTAGCAAACGATATTAATCTAACTTTTTCTACGAATAGTTGCTGCAGTATTTTCTAAAACCACTCTGTATCCGACCAGGCTGTGAACCTCTGATGCATTTTGATTCACGATATTTGTTCTGTCTCCTCAAGGTATACTTCCAGCGAGTGTTGAGCAGCAAGACGGCGGGGCGTGCTCAGATCCTGTCGTACGTGGCGGCCTTCGGATGCATTATCATGGCCCTGCCGCCCGTGCTCATTGGGGCCATAGCCAAGGCCACTGGTAACTCACTCCTTCAATATTCTCTATCATCAGCCTATTATAGTCCTCACTGCTGGGGAACAGGCTTTCCCTATGGATGGAATAGGAAGATTGGGCTGTGACCCACAGCGCGGGCCCAGTGCGGATTGGTGGATGCTAACGACTGCGGATGAAGCCGGAACCAACGGTTTAACATGCCTTCAGAAGCACGAAAGAGCTCGAGATCGTTAATTTTTGGTTACCCATCCAATGACCGACCACTGCGAAAGTGGCTTAGCTTCAACGATCGCAGCCGAACGCGCTAACGACTTGCGCCAGCCAACTTTTTATGTACATGTATGTTATTTGTCTTCATTATCTTATTTTAGTCTGCACTAATGGGGCAAAGGCTTTTCCCATTTGGTTATCAGCCACCACTCGGGTACAGGTGTACTGGTGAGAGCTGACGACTGCAGATGTAGGCAGCAATAACGCCCTCACAATTCTACTAGAATACGGAAAAGTTTGATACCCTAAAACTTACACTTTAAAACTTTCGCTATGTATTATAAACATAACGTTTCACGAGTTAAATGCGTAACGGTTCTCGTACTTTCTTTATCTCGATTTTTATTAAAGTACTAGCTGTGCCCCGCGGTTTCACGGTTTCAAACTCGTTTTTCTCGTTTCCGTGGAAATACCGATTTTGAACACAAAATCGGTTATTGTGATTAAACCATGATAGCTAGATATATGTTCTCGCGGACTTTTTTGTAGGTCTTAATGGGATCTACAAACCCGTAGTACATCATTTTGTTCTATTGTCAATAGTTTTTGCAGCGCACGCAAAAATAGGGTTTCGATTTTACACCTTGTGTTACAAAATAGCAATTTTATTACGGATCCCTATTTTGAAAAAAAACTGTAGCCTTCCTCGATAAATGGACTACCCAACACTGAAAGAATCATTCAAATCGGACCAGTAGTTCCAGAGATTAGCGCGTTCAAACAAACAAACTCTGCAGCTTTATAATATTTCTACTATATAAAAATAAGTCGGGTTTTCCTTCCTGACGCTATAACTCCAGAACGCACGAACCGATTTCCACGGTTTTGCATTCGTCGGAAAGGTCTCGGGCTCCGTGAGGTTTATAGCAAAGAAAATTCAGGAAAAATTAAAAAAAAAAACTTCTTTTAATCACCAAACGAAATGTTACATAAAACGAAGCCATCTATCTGGTGGCGAAACGGAGTTCGCCGGGTTTGCTAGTTAATTATAGATATGTGACGTTGCATGAAGACACCTACATCCAACGTCGTACCACCATCCTGGACAGTTGCAATCGGTTGTCTTCATTGAAAAACTGAGCTTATGGTCTATGTGACCCTAAACATTGTGAGCAGGAGCTCAATCATATTGAGGAGGTACTAATAAGAAACGATTACCGAGTAAGTGACCTTCGAAAACAGCCCAGAAAATGGTGCAGGAGTAACAGACAAGACTAGGAACACTTTCCGTGGGTATTCCATACCGACAATTTATACTCCTGGCATAAAAGTCATTAACATCGTGGGCGCTCCCAAGGATGTCCTGCTCTTACAAACACCGGGGGTTGACAAAATAGACTAGCTGTGGGTAGTTCCTATATAGGTAGGTAAATGGAAAGAACAGTACATGAAAGGTTCAAAGAGCGCTACGAAAACTTTTAAGTACGCATTTTAACCCGTGATATGTTATACCCAACAACTTATTTTCCAAAGAAATTTATGTTCACCAAAGTCCCAAAAAAATTGTACCTTAAAATAATAGATTAAAAATCAAGATGACTTTGTATTTAGAGGATTTTCTTGCTAAGTACAAGAATATTTTATTGAAGCAATAGCGCATATAATTTATTACCCAGTTGCTTAATTACGTTTCGCTGTATTGCTTTTAGTTTTTATTTTCTAAATTCTCAATGTGGTGGTAATGGTTTCTCTAAATCAAAAAACGGTATAAATAACTAGATAATAGATTGTGTCTTAATAGATTACTGATAAAATCTGCAAGTTTTTAGGTCATCATACATAAATCGTAGTAGCCCTGTATAAGTTATGTATAATTAGGTGTGGGGTGTCTAAACGCGTTAAGAGGTAAACTATTTAAGAAAGTTAACTATTTTGTTTTTGGAAAAATTAAATGTAAGTGAAAGTATCTCACTGTGTGTACACGCGTGTGTATGTGTGCTGTGTATATGTGCATGTGTAGTTGATATTTTGTTAAATTAGAGGTTTTTATACATGTAAAAGATTACCACGAGAACTGCTGCCGAAAAACTATTACATAGTTCCGCAGATTTAGACATATTGTTCTCATGTGTAATGTTGTGGGAAAATAAATAAACAAATAAAAACTATTAGATTTAGACATGATAATAAGAAGTAAATAGACTTACAAATGTCGAGATTAGAAACAGAATTTCGGAGAATCATTTTAGCGCTTTGAAATGTTTTCATTTAAATTAATGATACACTCCTTGTGCCGATATATATGTAACATTTTAAATGACCAAATATATATATATGTTTTTATAGTTATGTTTTTATTTATTTTTAAGCATTTAACTGCTAGATGTTTAAATCTAAAGAAAAGTTTACTAGAAAAAAATCCACGCGGACCAGGCAGCGGACGGGACTCGAACCCGCACCCTTCGCAATCCGGGCGAATGCACTGACCATTATGCTACCACGGCCCTATTTGCATATATATATATATATTGACGAATTGACTAACCTCCTCCTTTTTGAAGTCGGTTAAAAAGTTAATCATCGGATGGTACAAGGAAAACTACAATATTACAAAATCCATCAATATACTGATGGGAACATTTAATTAAATTGAACAGTGTTTGTATGTATGCCCGTATCTCTGGGAGTTGCTCCACACCATCTGGGTTCATTCGAGGAATTGTTGCGATAAACGGTCGATTCGTCAACGTGTCACGTCGGCTGCTGCAAAGTCGACGTTCGACGATACGTGTTAGAAATTTTATTGTCATTCTCGACAAAGGGACTAGTTTATTTACTAGCTTGATGTCATCGATGGGTAGGGACTTTCGTCATCATGGGTTTAACGTGTCGGGGTCAGTTCCTCAGTTTTTTTATGGCCAGGTAGGCAAATGACTCTACCTACTTTACCTGATGTTAAGTGGTGATAAAGGCTAAACGCGAAGATAGCTGGTACAGCAGTTATAAACTGCTACACCAACCATCCTCACCTTGCCGGCCTGCAAAAATGCTTCTTCACGCCTCTCTTAAAGGACCCTAGATTTACTAGTTATAACTAGGGTTGCCACCTTCTTTTTTCAAATAAAGTACATTAGATATTAAAAGGCAGAAAAAAGTACATTGTGTCCAAAATAAAGTACTTTTTATTCCACTTTATTAAAGTAGTAAGCTAAAACAAATATTTGACGTTGCTTCGAGTAACTTTTAATAAATAATATTTGGGGCTTTTTCTTCTTTCTTTTCTTTTTCGCAATGGGAAAGGTTCATGGTATATAGCCACGAAAACGTTGCAGGAATCAGCATAACATATTCTACATACTGTCGGTCCGTTTTACGAAAAAAATCTTCCTATGAACCTCCTTTTGTATGTTTTATGTAAAATTAATCCGCAAGTAATCAAATCACATTTAAAAAAGTATTTTCGCGTACTTTATTGTTGGCATAAATTAAAGAGTACAATTACCCGAAATAACGTACAATCTCTTATCTATTAGACAAGTCCGCCCGCCCGTCTGTGGTGCTGTTTCAGCGGCCAAACCGTAAGAGATAGATAAAGAGAATATTTAAGTTATAAGTTAAGAATAGTCTGGTAAGACTACAAACCGGATTTGAGTAACGTAGCACTTCCGGTTTTCGAGAAATCACGAATTTCAAACGAAACCACACAAAATCTCCGAAGTTCTCAATTAATTAAATACATTTTCTTTTTAATTGGTGAACATTTGATTCACTGGTTTGCCAGTACTTTATAATAAAGTACGGGTGGCAACCCTAGTTATAACCTCTTGTGGATTCGAACACTTCTTGTAAAGCCTAGTTCTTGTGTGGACCATTTCTGTTGATCACTTCCTAATTTAGTCAAATAATTTTATAATGGTGCGCAAATAAACTCAACTTTGTTTTATGTCCAAACATCAAACCCTCATCATTAGCGTTCTAATAATTTCACTGATGTGTTTAAGGCATTCTTTGTAAAGAAAATAAAATTAGGGGACTGAATTATAACTAGGGAAGTACGAGTATATTTCCAAATGTCGCCGGAATATTTCAACGATTCCGGGAATATTCACAATGTATTCACTATTCAGGAATATTATTGAAGCTCACCAAAGATTTCTATATGCTTTATATGCTTAGTTTAGTATAAGACGGCCTTGTTCTTGTAGTTTTTTCTGATATCATCAATCATCATCAACAGCCTATCCTAGTCCACTGCTGGACATAGGCCTCTCCAATAGCACGCCACTCAGATCGATTTTGGGCTACTCGCATCCAGCTCCTGCCAGCCACCTTGCGCAAATCGTTACTCCATCGCGCCTGAGGACGTCCTACACTACGTTTGCCTAGACGCGGTCTCCACTCCGGAAATCGTCTACCCCAACGGTTATCGGTTCTTCGGCAAATATGGCCAAAACCACTGCCACTTCAGCTTACTAATCCGATGGGCTATGTCGATAACTCTGGTTCTCTGTCGGATTACCTCATTTTTGATGCGATCCTAATAATCTTTCTGATTACAATGATTAAAAATACCCTTTATTTTATATTAGGAATTACAACAAGTATTAAAAATATTTAAGGGAAGGTCTTCAAATGTCACATTTGGTTCGCTCTTCATTTATGTCAGAGCTAAGTGAAGCTAAGGAACACTCAACGAGGCTAAACATAAAATATTTTTAATTCCAAGGACAGAATTCTGAGTAAGCAAGATCGCTAACGCTGCCGCATAGCGTATAGTAACTGGCTCGCTTGTCGCCGATTAAAAAGGAGTCCAGTATTTTCAGAGTGAATGTATGTTTGTATGTGCGTTTTTTTATTTCAGCATAACTTCTAAATGTCTGAAAATATTATAATATTCCCGGAAACAATGTAAGTAAAATTAAATAAACAATATTGAATTTTAATTCGAATTTTGATATTAATGGTATGCGTCAAAAATGGAGCCGAAAAGAGACATGCGTTCTCCATTCTTCATTCTGAAAGTTAATAGGTTTTAGACTGGCATATTGCAAGCAGTTTAACCAATCCCCTTTCGGAGGAGGCTGGTGTGTTTGGAAATATGGTAGCATAAATTTTGTGTAATAAATAATTGATCATAAGAGAATTGTATGGTCAGGTTAGGGGGCCGTTCAAGTATTACGTAAGCAGATTTATTACAATTATTTACCCCCTCCTCCCCCTCGTCAACAAAAGTAAGCAAAGCTCTTACCCCTCCCCCCATCCTTACGTAAACATTGGTACCTATATGCATTTTCCCTTTAATGTATTCTGTTTTTTTTATTGATTCGTAAGCTTTCATGAGCTTAATGAGCAGCAGTACTTAAAAAGGCTTAATCGATGATGCTGACGTAATCACCATCTCTACCCCCCACCCCGCATGTCATCAACAATAAGCAAAGCAAAGACCCCCCTGCCCCCCTACAGTGCTTACGTAATACTTGAACAGCCCCTTACGATGGGGCTAGTATGGACAATTTGGATTAAAAGCCCCTTAAACTCAAATATTTCTCTTAGCATGGAACGAGACGGAATACCATGGCGCGCTGACCCCGACCGGCGAGCTGCCCCCGGAGCAGACCTCCATGATCCTGCCGCTGGTGCTGCAGCACCTGACTCCTGACTTCGTGTCCTTCTTCGGGCTGGGCGCAGTCTCCGCAGCCGTCATGTCCTCCGCCGATTCGAGCGTACTCAGCGCCTCGTCAATGTTCGCGAGGTAAGGGCACATTTTTTTTTTTTTTTTTTTTTTTTTTTTTTATAGATAGGTCCGACAAATGACTCCACCCCACCTGATGTTAAGTGAAGGTGAAGTCCAGACGTGACGATAGCTGATACAGCAGTTTTACCTGCCACACCAGCCATCCTCACCCTGCCTGCCTGCATGTTGCTTCTTCACGCCTCTTTTAAAGGATCCCAGGTTGTAAGAGGGAGGGAACACGTGAGCGGGCAGAGCATTCCATTTACGGATAGTGCGACAAAGAAATGAGTCACCAAATTTCTTTGTACGCGTTGGAATTGTGGCCACAGTTAGACGATGACAACGTAGGCCAGCGCGCGTGGTCCTCTGAAGGAAAGGAGAAGGTGGGATAAGAGAGAATAACTCCTCAGAACACTCGCCGTGGTACAGACGATAGAACGCGCTTAGTGACGCCACGTCACGGCGTAATTGAAGAGGCTCAAGGTGTTTAGTCACCTCCTCATCGCCTATGATGCGGATCGCGCGTCGCTGTAACCTATCCAAAGCATCGAGCAAGTACTTGGCGGAGCCATCCCAGAGGTGCAAGCAATATTCCACGCAGGACCGCACTTGCGTTTTGTACAACAAGCACAGTTGATCGGGCGTGAAAAAACGCCGCACCTTGTTCAGGACTCCGAGTTTGCGTGAAGCTGTTTTGATCACGGTTTCGATGTAGTTCTTTGGATTCAGGTCTGAGCGAACTTCCATACCGAGCATGGAAATGTTGCTCTGCAGCGGTAGTGTTGTGCCCTGAAGAGATGGAAGAGGAAGGAATGACGATGTTTTTGCCGTGAAAGCGCAAGCCTGAGTTTTTTTGGCATTGAACTCAACCAAGTTCCTGGTACCCCATTCGGAAATGTGGTCCAAAGCCTGATTGAGTTCAATGACAAGATTCTCGCGTTTCTCCTTGGTTACCGCCAGCCCAGCCGCTGCTTGTCCGAGATACCCCGCATGCACTGTACTATCGTCTGCATAGCAATGAATATTCCCAAGAGGAATTAAGTCATTGATATGCAGCAGAAAGAGAGTGGGGGATAGGACGGAGCCCTGGGGAACGCCGGCATTCACTGACATGAACCGCGAACTGCTACCATCCGTAAGGACACGAATTCTACGCTCATGCAGGAAGTCAGCTACCCAAGAACAGAACTGGGCTGGCAGACCGTATGCCGGAAGCTTGGAGAGAAGGCTTTTGTGCCAGACCCTGTCAAACGCCCTGGCAATGTCAAGGCTGATAGCCAACGACTCGCCACGCTTGTCGATAGCCTCACCCCAGATATGAGTTAAGTACGCTAGAAGATCACCCGTCGATCGTTTCGGTCTAAAACCATATTGACGATCATTAATCAAGGAGTGATCCTCTAGGTAGCGGGTCAGATGGTTATTAAGGACCTTTTCTAAAACTTTACATAAAACTGAGGTGACTGCTATTGGCCGGTAGTTTGCCGGGTTTGAGCGATCCCCTTTTTTGGGCACCGGTTGCACATTGGCATCTCTCCAAGTCTCCGGCACACGCCCCAAAGAATACGAGCATTGGTACAAGCGCGTGAGCACGGGAGACAACTCCGCTGCACATTTTTTGAGTACTACTGCTGGGATGCCATCAGGTCCACTAGCTTTCCGGACGTCGAGTGATTGCAATTCGGCACGAACCTCGCGCTGCCTGATTTTAATATCAGGCATCGTTGTGCCACAGTGAGGTAATGATGGTGGCAGTGCATTGCAATCATCGATTCGGGAGTTAGCCGCAAAGAGTTTTGCCAGTAAATCGGCTTTCTCCTGCGGCTTATGGGCTAGTGTTCCGTCTGGGCATCTCAGAGGTGGCAGCGAGGGCTCGCAGAAGTTTTTTTGCACGGCCTTGGCCAGACGCCAGTAGCTACGGGAACCCGTAGGATGCGTCATAAGTTCCTGGCCAACACGTGCAACGCGCTGGGCATCCGCTCTAATGTAAGCCTTCTTACAGGCCTTGGAAGCAAAATTGTAGGCTGCTTTGAGTGAATCGACCTCGGGATCCTTGAGAGCGCGACCTCTGATCCAAGCACGATATGCCGCTTGCTTACGCGAAGCAGCTTCAGCACAGTCGTGATTGAACCAGAGGTTACGCGTGCCCTTACTGATGAGATCAGAATGAGGAATATAGTATTCCATACCCATTATAATCTCCTCAGTAATGGCAACGGCACTGGCCGATAGGTCCCCGTCACTGAAGCAGCGCTGCTTCCAAGGAACGGACGCAAAGTAGTCACGCATACCGTCCCAATCTGCCGACCCATAATGCCAGATACGGCGCTTGACCACTGCTGGACGCAGAGGCTTGGCCTGTGGTGCTTTGGCAGATATCAGGCAGTGGTCTGACGAGCCCAGGGGGGCTCTTACCACAACCTGATAGCCCTGTGGATGGGTCGTGAGCAGAAGGTCCAGTAAAGAAGGCCCTTGACTTGGAATATCTGGGATCCTGGTGGGCTGATCAACCAGTTGCTTCAAGTCATGCGTGAGAGCGAATGCGTGAGCAGAGATCCCTGCATGGTCAGTTTTGGAGGAACTTAACCACATATTGTGGTGAGCATTAAAGTCCCCCAAAAACACCAATTCTGCATTGGGAAATTGTTCCTGCATATACATACATAAGCACTTGGAAATCCTAAAAAGCTATTAACGGAATTGTTATGCATTGCATGTTTTTTTTTTATGTTATAGGGGGCATACGAGCAGACGGCTCACCTGATGGTAAGTGATCACCGTCGCCCATGGACACTTGCAACACCAAGTGTATCACAAATGCGATGCCGGCCTTTAAGGAAGGACGCTCTATGTTTTTTGGTCCGGAAACACTGCTGGCGACAACATATTCCACAGTTTTGTCGTACGTGGTAAAAAATTTCGACAAAAACGCACGGTTGTGGATAGCCACGCATCAAGATGATGGGGATGAAATTTTTGTCGCGATGTACGATGGCGAAATGCAGCAGCTGCAATTAATCAATGTCCCTTGTTTATTACGAGTTCCCCATATTTCGGCACTGTGTTGCGAGTGCCATGATCACAGAGTAATTTTTATCTTTACCTTACCCTTTTACCTGGGGATTGGGTCAGGGTAGGCAACGGCGCGAGAGTCATTTTGTGTATTCATTCATCATCATCAGCCTATTAATGTCCCCACTGCTGGGGCACAGGCCATCCCTATGGATGGAATAGGGAGATTGGGCCATGACCCACCACGCGGGGCGGATTGGCGGATGCTAACGGCTGCAGATGCAGCCGGGACCAACGGCTTAACGTGCCTTCCGAAGCACGGAGGAACTCGAGATAGAAAATTTTTGGTCACCCATCCAATGACCGACCACTGCAAAAGTTGCTTAACTTCAACGATCGCAGCCGAACGCGCTAACCACTTGCGCCATCGAGCTTCCCTTTGTGTATTGCATGCGTCTATAGGCTGTGGTAGCCGCTTCACACCAGGCGGGTCATATGCCTGTTTTCCACCATCATAACATAAAAAAACTATAGTGTTAGTGACCATGGAAGTTAAAAATAATAATCCCTAAAAGCATTTTACGAGCTTGGGCTTGGTCCAATTGGGATCTTGTGAAAGATCTATCAGATATAATATCAAAAATTTATAAAGATAAAGTGTCTGGAATGGTGCTACGTATATCTTGAACTGAAATTGAGTAGGAGACAAGACTCCTGAAATATTCACAGACAGCGTGTTACCATAAACAACGTAACCACCGCGTCCAAGCAGAGAGTCGACTCTGAACAAAGCGTCATTTCTGTCATGTCAGGCACACATAGGCGTTTCATTTACAGTCATTCTTATGCAGTTGCAATTTTAAGCAGTCTTTAAACGCAACACGTGTTGTCAAATAAATAGCGTTACGGTATCCTTCCTTTAGAAGTCCAACTAAAAACTGTTTTTTTTTGGAAACTCTTTGTTAGAACCATGTTGTAAACTATATATTGACAATAACCGGCTTTGTTGTTTTATGGGTCTGCACCATGCACCATTGTATAAGATCTAACACTACAACGAAGACCTCCGGCAGAAAAGGAATCTCTTATGGATTCCTTTAGAGTTGTATGACTAAAACATATTTTAGCAAACTACGATAATAATGGTTTTACATCAACATAGAGGCAATTTAATTACAACAATTTACGAGTATGTTTGTTCTCAGGAATGTGTACAAGCTGATCTTCCGTCAGAACGCGTCTGAAATGGAAATCATCTGGGTGATGAGGGTCGCCATCCTGGTGGTGGGAGTGCTGGCTACCGTCATGGCACTCACCATCCCCTCCATATACGGCCTCTGGTGAGTTCTGATTCTTCTTCTTCTTCCAGTGCCTCTTCAATCCTGAAGGTTGGCCGTTAGCTTCCTGTATGTAGTTCTGTCAGCAGCCAGCCGGAACAGCTGTTCGACGGAGGCAATACCGGTCTACTCCCGGATATTCCGGAGCCATGACTTTTTTCTTCGCCCAGCACGTCTCTTTCCCTCCACTTTGCCCATCATTATCAACTGGAACAGCTTGTATCTGTTGTTCCTGAGCACGTGGCTAAGATATTCTATCTTGCGCTTTTTGATAGAACGCGTTGGAGCACGGTTTCGTTCCTGACCCTCTGCGTCCAACTAATGCGTAACATGCGACGGTAACACCACATCTCCAATGCCTGTAGGCGTCTTGTAGTGTCTTCTTTCTTTCGAGTTCTGATTACTTTCCATTTTCTTCTCTATGTCAGATTTACTTACTGTCAGAAAGCTATAAATTCTACATGCTGTATTACGGAAGCACACAACACTGTCGTACAATCCTAGTATTGTAGATAAAAGAAGAAGAGACATAGTAGCATTAGTTCAGTGCTCTAACACAAGTTTTGCTCGCAATCAGTACCTTCACATCTCCTCCATCATCTTTAACCATATAAACAAAATGTTAAATATTTATCCTTTAACTTACCGGGAGTGCAAGCTCAAACTGATGGCATGGCTCAAGACCGTGGATTATGATGAAACTGAGAGCCTTCTCAATCTTACTTACTAGCGGATTAAAAAAACATTTGTACACAGATACACACATACTCACGTACACTCGTCACACACACGAACACGCACACACACATACACACGCATACAGACACACACTTATATAAATTCTAATTTAATCTCTTATCTATTAGACAAGTCCGTCCGTTTGTCTGTGGTGCTGGTTCAGCGGCCAAACCGTAAGAGATAGATAAAGAGAATATTTAAGTTATAAGTTAAGAATAGTCTGATAAGACTACAAACCGGATTTGAGTAACGTAGCACTTCCGGTTTTCGAGAAATCAGGTTTTGGTGAACATTTGGTTCACTGGTTTGCTAGTTTTTTATAATGTTTTAAAAAATCAAATGAAATAAAATTAAGACCTTACTTATAAGATATGTTAATGATGCTATGGATGAGTGGTTCCTTCTGGTACAGGTGTTAAACACTTAATAGAAGGAACCCTCCCTGGTTTGGTGTACAACAAATGTGGTAACTTAATATTTTTTTTTGATATTGATTTTCTTCACGGCGGGTATTTTCATCGACTCGACATTTGGTGCCTATTTTTCGTGTGATTCTGATTACCTTGAAACTCATTCATAAAGGTGGATAATTTTGAAAGAAAAAATCCACTCGTACCATGGGTCAGGCTGGATTTGAATCAGCACCTCATATTATCCAGGTGCACTAGCCACTAGCTACTGAGACCTTTTTTTTTCTTGAAATTTATGGATCTAGCAGTTTAACGCTCAAAATAAATGTAGGCATAACAAACGTTTAACTTTGTGCAGAAATTTATTAATGCCATTTAGGAGGTCACAGAACACGGAAAGAGGTGGGTCATGATCAAGCTTTCTTTGCCGTCTTTATGATCTAGAAACTAAAAGCAATGACTATTGATTTTAATCACATCATTTTTTTGAGGTTATATTTCCTGGTATTGGTGATTTATTTCATATAGACTAGCTTTTGCCCGCGACTTCGTCCGCGTTTTCGTCGATTTTCGTAAAAAAGTAGCAAAAGTCCTTCCTCAGGGTTCCGTGGTTTTGATGTGACAGACAGATTAACTTTCGTATTTTAGTAGGGAAATATAATATGTCAATCCACAATACTGTTAAAAATATCGCAATAAGGAACCGCTGAATATTATTATTATCACTGTGCCCTGAGACCATCAGCGTGTAACTCCTTGTATGTTATTATGTTAATGTATTGGTAATATTGTTCAGATCGCTTTCACATGAGGCTTAAGTACATATAGAATGAAAATACTTCAGCGCAAAGCTTCCGGGTAAACTACGTTGAAAGTTGACCCGTCCGGCACGTGAACATAAAAATTTCTAGGACTGCTAACCCGGGAAAGAGCGACATAACTGACCATGTGAAAAACAGCTGACACCGAGATCTTCTCCAGCAACACGAAAAGTCTGCCCTTGAGCCTTATTTATTGTCATTGCATAACACACCGATACTGGGAATTGCGTTCTTTTAAATTGGAATGGAAAATTATTTGGTATTATGGGAATTCTGGGAATAAAGATGGTTTCTCCTGCACCGCAACCTGTTAAAATTTGAGCCTCAATTACATTTTGTTGCAACTGGGTTACTTTAAGCCGAGTTCCATTGCAAATTTGTGGTGGTCTTAAATTTTGGAGCAGAATAATCGGAATGCCAATTTTTAAACAAATTTCAAGAGAAGGAAGTCCGGGCATATTTAAAAAATTTAAAAATTCTATCGGGTAATTAGTGGTTTCTTGTTCATCGGCCATTCTATTTATTGAACTATAAACTTTGCTGTCCCCCTGGATATTCGACAGTATTTTATTATTAATCTCAGATGCCCGGTCATTGCGAGGAGTTAAAATGGACCTTTCGCATAGCCAAGAATTGTCCTTATTTAATATATTTGTTACGTCACCGTAAACTGACGATGTAAGATGTTGTTGGGATTGCACTATACAACATAACTCAGGCGTCAGAATAAGTTTTCCTTGGTAGCAGTGGATAGGTTTCTTTGGTGAAGGTATTTTCTTTAATAATATATCAGAAAATTCACGATCATCCGGGTTACCTACAGTTCTCACTCGCATGTTTATAGTCAAATGCACCAATTGTATATCACGCCACAAATAAGAGCTTTTCAGGCAAGCCCTAACCTCATCAGCTCGGGTTCCCCGTGGTATAACCGGTAAGGTTTGTCGGAAATCACCACAAAATAAAACTGTGATACCGCCCATTGGTCGATCATTTTGTCTTATATCCCTTAAAGTTCTGTCTACCGCTTCTACTCCTTTTCGATGGGCCATTGTACATTCATCCCATATGATTAAATTACACTTTGAACGAATATTTAAACACTACCAAAACAACTAATACGTGGTCCTAACTTTAGCTACCTTACACTTAAAATCTAAGTGACTATTTAAACTAAAATATTCTTATAGAATTATAAAAATATTCTTATAGAATTATAACTAGAAATATATACAACTCACAACAAAAAAGAAATGAAAATAAAGCTGAAACGCCTGTGCAATACTATCTACCTATACCTACTTCACTTAAAAATAAATACTTATAACTACTTTAATTAATAAAAGTACCTACGCTTAATAATTTTTAATTTGAACGAATATTTAAACACTACCAAAACAACTAATACCTATTTTACAAAATAACAACAAAAGAAATTCAAATAAACTATTTAAAGACTAAAAGTCGCGCTGATAAGCACGGTTTCTCAATATTTCTCAATTATTGTCTGTCAATAAGACCGAACGCTCTGAACGCATCAACAGCCAAATATTGAAGCTAGCTCGCTCTTTTTTTTTATTTTTTTTGTTTCCTCCCAGGGGGGGGAGCAGGTGAGAAATCCTCATGGATGCCAGACTCGTACTGACTAAAAAGCACCCGTAGGGGCTGCCTCTGACCGGGAAGGCCTCTAAGGCTTCATCGGAAGCGATCGCCCCCAGGGGGGGAGCGACGCAGAAAACAGATTTAGACAGCTCGCACTCGGACCTCCCGCCTTTTGATACCCTACCGCCGCCGCGACCCGTGTCGAGCGCGGCAACCGTTACACAAAAATAATCCTTATAGCATGATTCAGTATTCACGTGCGACGGCGCGATGGCTTATTTCATGTATAGTTTTGTGTTTCTATACCGATTTCTATGTTTTGTTTTTATTGAATAGGTAATAATGTTAACTTTTTTAAATTAGGGATGAGTCGGAGTATTATAAACGTAAGAGTAAGGGATGAGTCGGAGTATTATAAACGTAAGAGTAAACAAATATGATCAGAATGCTCCGAACTGCTAAGCTATCGGGAGTTACACGTGTTACTGTGAGTCAACCATAAAAGATAGACATATGCTGTTACGGGATATTTTTTAGACAATTTTATGTAGAATATTTCCGTCATACATGATTTCTATGTAACTTTAATCATTAAGGCTGCACACGCGACGGAAGCTTAAAAATGGAGTAACTTCTCCCGTTTTCCCAACATTTCCCTTCACTACTCTGCTCCTGTTGATTATAGCGTGATGAAAAGTATACTATAACCTGCCCAGGAGTATGAAGAATAATTGTACCAAGTTTCGTTAAAATCCGTCGAGTAGTTTTTGTTTCTATAAGGAACATACACACAGACAGACAGACAGACAGACAAAAAATTTGCTGATTGCATTTTTGGCATCAGTATCGATCACTAATCACCCCCTGATAGTTATTTTAAAAATATATTTCATGTACAGAATTGACATCTCTACAGATTTATTATAAGTATAGATAAGAAATATTTATAGCATGTAATATATATTTGTTTTTTTAGGTTTTCACGCACATCATTCATTAAATAAAACTAGTTTTAACGCGTTAATGCACGAAACTTTATTTATTTATTGACGTTTCGCAGCCTTTTCAGTATTCTAACGATGCAGACCTGAAAAGGCTGCGAAACGTCAATAAATAAATAAAGTTTCGTGCATTAACCCGTTTTAACTAGTTTTATTGAACATGTAATATATTTAATACTAGCTGTCCCAGCGAACTTCGTACCGCCATAAAAATAGGGGTTGGTGGTAGAAGGGTGAAAATTTAGGGTTGTATGTATTTGTGTATGATGTATCATAAAAAAATAAAAAAAAAATATCTAAAATTGAAAAAAAAAATTAGGGGTGGATTACCCTTAAAATTTAGAGGGATGAAAAATAGATGTTGTCCGATTTTCAGACCTACCCAATATGCACACAAAATTTCATGAGAATCGGGAAAGCCGTTTCGGAGG